TACCCGCGTCCGACGATTTTTACTGTGTAGTACGACGTCCGTTGGGAACGTATTGCGTATTACGGAGCTGATTTAAACTGCCAGTGTGAAGGCAGCGTAACAAAATTCCTCCGGAGCGAATGAGGCATAGAACGTGGCGCGGTAGACGCAAATACGACTCATTCGCGCATCAAGTTCACGCGAATGCTGTGAATTGATTGTCTGCTGTGTTAAGCGCGAATGATTTAGTTAGTGCTATTTGTGCATTAGCGCGTTTGATGCGAATTCGCGCCTGCCGCCCGAGTTGAAAAATCTGAACTTTGGTGTCAATTCGTGCCGTGTTAACCAATCAGGAGCCTAGCTGCTTGCTCACGTAGTGAAGTATCTGGATGTGTCAATAAATTATTTTGTAATATGACTAAATGCCTGGTGTGGTTCTAATGCACAACAAAGCAAATATTTTATCACTCAAAACTCTATTTTAATATACAAGACATGTTCATTTTGTTCGCCTCCGAAGGGTCCGGTGGGCACAAATACGGCGACGATGATCCCCACGCCGCTGTTCTGCTCTCCAGAGCAAATACAGAGCGGTGACTCTCTCGATGAATGCTCCATCAACATAAAAAAGATGGCCGCCAACGGGTTTCGATTCTGACGCACGTAAATTTCGCTTCAAACTTTTGTTTTTACACGCGTCAGTTTCACTCTTGATGCGTGAATGGATTCAAAGTGTTTAAGCGTATTACTAGACGTGCTATTCTCGTCCGGTGTGAACGCACAGTTACAGCGATCCCGAGTGATGCTACAGAGTCTTGTACACGCTCAGGTTGGTTCTGCGACTAATTGCATTACCAGTGCAAGAGTCACAGATGGCACATTTGCTACTTGAGTGGAGATGAGTCGAAGACCTTGGACAATGTTCTTGCCATTTACCTCCCAACTCCCTCGTTGGCTGAGCTGGAAAAGGGAATATGAAGATTGGTCTTGACCACTTGACTTGTAATAACTGTAATCCAAATCCCTCTCAGGTGCCCAAATACAGGCATGGGCGGTTTTGTGGCGATGCTGGGAAATCAGACTGGCGTTCGAGCCAAGCTCTCCCACACTTTCAAACCTATCAGGCCTTTTAAATGGGTCACAAATTCTGCTTTGGCTCTGTAATTTATACACCTGACCGTTTTTACTGCGTTATAAGGTCTGGAGTTGTTTCAATCCTTTTTTGGCTCCATTTGTCTTGGGCTACAGGTAATGACTGCTTTGTTTAGTCTGAATCGTTCCAAACAACTTCTGACGCTATTCCACAAACACGTATATCGACGGGATACTGTATGTTGTGTAATGATTCTTAAGCTTTTTGTTATCTATGAGCCAAGTGTGCTATTTTGGACTGTCTTCAGTGCAGTCGTAATTCAAGTGGTCGATGGTTTGGCTTTTGACCTGAAGATCAAATGTGACGCTAAATACCCCTCTTAAACAAACCCAAATGAACCATTCTGAGAGAAAGGGATGAAAAGCTCTTTCTTTGTGGTTTGTGTATCAGTAGGTTAATTAGGATATGCCTACTTCACCTCTATATATTCAGGTTACCATATTATGATGCCACAAATTTTCAACAATGATTAGATACTTGGGAATCTGATGGATTTGTGTTTTAGGTTTAAAGGGATACTTCAGTTTTTTGGGAAATAGGCTCATTTTACAACTCCCCCAGAGTTAAAGAGTTGGGTTTTACCATTTTTGAATCCATTCAGATGATTTTCGGATATTTGGAAGAAAATCAGTAACCAGACAGTTTCCATGGAAGTCAATTTATCCTTCTGCTTTTCCATAAGCATATTCAATATTTATCATTTAATGGTGATTTCCTTCAACAGGAAGCAATCAATCTCCTGGAGCCCATGACCAATGACCCGGTGAATTACGTCAGACAGGGCGCTCTGATCGCCTCTGCTCTGATCATGATCCAACAGTCGGAGGTCACCTGTCCAAAGGTAAGGGGAGTGTGTGGTTTTGGGTTGTTAGGGTTAATTATTTGGCTCATGGGATTAGTAAACATAATCTTTATAAATGCCCACTGATAAATGCTGTAGTTACACCACGTCATCCCAAATGTTTCAGTCCTTGCCTGACAGCGAAATGTGGCAAAGCTACAAAATCACAGCTAATGCTAATTTATAAATATGTGAACTGCATGTTGGACCAATGAGTTTCCAATAAATCAATGGTTGGATGTATATTATCTAGAGGAAGTTGTTTGAAATTATGTGGGCTTTAGAGACTACACAGACTGAAATATGAACTATTGTCTGTCATTTTATTGTTTATTGTAGATGCTAGTACACACCTAAAGTCATAAATATTGGCCTTTTATAATTTCAGACTTCGTCCAATCATTTCTACAGTGTGGTTGTGGTGTCACGGTACATTTGCTTGTTTCTTGGGGTGATTCTCAATCTTCAATCCTTCAATTTTACCACATGATTATTACTGGGCTGCAAATTTAATGGCCACATGAAAGTGAAATTGATTTGAAAATCCCTGTTTTATGGAGTAATAAAGAGCTGGAGTTGTAGCAATGGCAATCATTTGTTAAATATCCCTTACGGGCACACTGTGATTCATGCTAGCCATGTTTTATGTGCCTGGCTTTAAAGGAGTAGTTCACTTTAAAAAAAAAATTTGCTGACAAGATGTCCATGTCTTTCTTTCTTCTGTTGAAAAGAAATTAAGGTTTTTGATTAAAACATTCCAGGATTTTTCTCCATATAATGGACTTCATTGGGAACCAAACGGTTCAAGATACAAAAGACAGTTTCAGTGCAAACTGTTCAATGGGCTTTAAACGATTCCAGACGATGAATAAGGGTCTTATCAAGCAAAACGATCGCTCATTTAATAAATAAATAAAAAAGTTTAAGTTTTATAAGCTCAAATGCTCGTCTTGCTCTGGTCTGAGATGCTCGTTCGTGACTCTCCTGTTCGAACTCATTCATCAAAATGAACAAATCTTTTTTTGTGTCATTTAGTTCATTCAACGAACGAGTTGACTCCATTTGAGCTTCTAAAACTTAAACTTTGTTATATATTTATTAAATGAGCGATCTGGATCTTATTCATCGACTGGTGTCGTTTAAAGCCCTTTGAACAGTTAGCAGTTTGCACTGAAACTCTCATTTTAACCTTTAACAGTTTGGTTCCCATTGAAGTCCATTATATGGAGAAAAATCCTGGAATGTTTTCATCAAAAACCTTAATTTCTTTTCGACTGTAGAAAGAAAGACATGGACATCTTTGATGACATGGGGGTGAGTAAATTATCAGCAAAAGTTTTTTTTAAAAGTGAACTACTCCTTTAACCTTTGGGGAAAGAAAGCAAATTATCTGACGATTAACAGACTTCAGGATACCTCTGGATAAAATTTCGAAAATATCTATATTCAAAGCGAATGAAGTAATTTCACACTTGAATCCATTAGCGTTGTTATAGAAGCTAATCATATCTGAGTCAGAGGACGTGAACAAAGTCAAATCCCTTAATACCATCTTTTAATTACAGTAATTATAACAAGTCATGATTGCAGCATAAGACCAGAGCCATTTTTTTTAGAGTAAATGTGGTCAGATTTCACTTCTTTTGAGATTTGCTGGTATATTGTTTCCTGTTCTCGCTCTCTGCCCGTCTACAGAAGTGGTATCAGAGATCAGCTGTTCATCGCCTCTGTTTCCACAGGTGAACCAGTTCCGCCAGCTCTACTCAAAGGTGATCAACGACAAGCATGATGATGTGATGGCCAAATTTGGGGCCATTCTGGCTCAAGGCATCCTGGATGCAGGTCAGTACCAAATGTGAAGACTCGTCCTAACTGGCATTAGGACAAGCATAAAGAGGGCGCTTGAGACGTGCAATATTTCTGATGATATATTGGTGTGAAGTTAAGAAGAAAAGTTCTGCGATTCTCCTTTTAAAGCTGTAATCAACTGGTAAATATATCAATACATTTGGAAATATGTAGATTGTCTATTTTTCATTTTTACTTTCTGGGTTAATGTGCTATGTAGAGTCTCATCTCAAATAACTCGATGGTTGTGTTTTCAGTGCAAAATGCGAGGGTGAAAACAAACCTTTGTATGCGTGTCAAGGCAGGTTCGTCCCGTTGAGGCTGTGTGTAAGATAAAGCGCTGATAGGATCGTGACAAAAATGTGGCATTAGAAACCAGATAGCGCCACGTCTTCATGACTTTACAAGCAATCATTCACTCATTCCCAAGGGGGCTTGCCTATTAATATTGAAAGAATGCTTTGACCTTCAAGATGCTCTTGCTCCCAGCTTCCCAAATACCAGCTCGTATACCAACCCCATTCAGGTTAGCGCAGATTCAGGAGAGTATTTCCTTTTGGAGTGTTGTTTTTGCCCACGGTTAGTCAATAAGGACACACTGAGGCAATCTTAATGATCTATTTATTACAACTACAGCTCATAAATTGTGGATTTGAAGGTTTCAGTCACGGGTTCTTGCCTCAATACTGCATTTAAATACATGAGCCATGCCACCACAGGCAGACTAAACTTTCCTACGACTTCTTAAATAGCTGTTTTTATGGAAGCTTGTTTCCGCCATAGAATGAAAAATAAAAAAGGAATTGTGACTTTTTATCTCACAATTCTGACTTTTTTTCTCACAATTGCGAGTTTACATCTCACAATTCTGATTAAGTCAGAATTGCGAGATATAAAGTCGCAATTGCGAGATATAAAGTCAGAATTGCCAGATAAAGTCAGAATCACGAGATATTAAGTCAGAATTGCGAGATATAGTCGCAATTGCGTGTTATAAAGTCAGAAACGCATGATATAAAGTCAGAATTGCGAGATATAAAGTCAGAATTGCGAGATATAAAGTCAGAATTACGAGATATTAAGTCAGAATTGCGATATATAGTCGCAATTGCGTGTTATAAAGTCAGAAACACGATATAAAGTCGCAATTGCGAGATATAAAGTCAGAATTGTGAGATATTAAGTCAGAATTGCGAGATATAAAGTCGCAATTATGTGTTATAAAGTCAGAATTGCGAGATATAAAGTCGCAATTGCGAGATATAGTCAGAATTGCGAGATATAAAGTCAGAATTACGAGATATTAAGTCAGAGTTGCGAGATATAGTCGCAATTGCGTGTTATAAAGTCAGAAACACATGATATAAAGTCGCAATTGCGAGATATAAAGTCAGAATTGCGTGATATAAGGTCGCAATTGCGTGATATAAAGTCAGAATTGGGAGATATAAAGTCGCAATTGCGAGATAAAGTCAGAATTGCGAGATATAAAATCAGAATTACGAGATATTAAGTCAGAATTGCGAGATATAGTCGCAATTGCATGTTATAAAGTCAGAACACATGATATAAAGTCAGAATTGCGAGATATAAAGTCGCAATTGCGTGTTATAAAGTCAGAATTGCGAGAAAATCGCAATTGCGAGATATAAAGTCAGAATTGCGAGATATAGTCAGAATTGCGAGATATAAAGTCAGAATTGTGAGATATAAAGTCAGAATTGCAAGATATTTAGTCAGAATTACGAGATATAAAGTCAGAATTGCGTGATATAAAGTCAGAATTGCTAGATATTTAGTCAGAATTACGAGATATAAAGTCAGAATTGCGAGATATAAAGTCAGAATTGCAAGATATAGTCAGAATTACGAGATATAAAGTCAGAATTGCGAGATATAAAGTCGCAATTGCGAGATATAAAGTCAGAATTGCGAGATATAAAGTCAGAATTGCGAGATATAAAGTCACAATTGCGAGATATAAAGTCAGAATTACGAGATATAAAGTCAGAATTGCGTGTTATAAAGTCAGAATTGCGAGATATAAAGTCAGAATTATGAGATATAAAGTCAGAATTGCGTGTTATAAAGTCAGAATTGCGAGATATAAAGTCAGAATTATGAGATATAAAGTCAGAATTGCGTGTTATAAAGTCAGAATTGCGAGATATAAAGTCAGAATTGCGAGATATTAAGTCAGAATTGTGAGATATTAAGTCAGAATTGCGAGATATAAAGTCAGAATTGCGTGTTATAAAGTCAGAATTATGAGATATAAAGTCAGAATTGCATGTTATAAAGTCAGAATTGCGAGATATTAAGTCAGAATTACGAGATATTAAGTCAGAATTACGAGATATAAAGTCAGAATTGCGTGTTATAAAGTCAGAATTGCGAGATATAAAGTCAGAATTGTGAGATCAAAAGTCGCACTTATGTAACTTTAAGTCGCAATTCTGACTTTATATCTCGCAATTGTGACTTTATAACATGCAATTGTGTGATAAAGTCGCAATTATTATTATTTTTTTTATTCGGTGGCGGAATCAAGCTTCCACATGTTTTACATAAATAGTGCACCCATGATCAACTTTGATATTCCATTGAGCATACAACTGGACAACATATTGCAGTTTGACATCAGCATGTTGCTAAGCTAACATCAACAAATTGTGCAATGTGTATTTTCATGCCTATTAAATGATTGTGGTGTTTGTTAATGTTGCTAAGCTAATGCCACAGTACTCAAATAAGCAATAAAATAATTACTAAATTCAATTGTGCAATATTTGATTATGCAATATAAAGCTATAATTGAGAATTGGACCCTAAAGTGTTAACCACTCTTAACTAGCTGCTTATTATCATGCATATTACTAGGATATTGTCTGTTTATTAGTCCTTATAAAGCACATATTAATGCCTTATTCTACATGATCATATTCTACATCCCTTAATCCACCCGATACCTAAACTTAACAACTACTTTACTAACTATTAATACACAGTAATACGGAATTTGAAGCAAGAAGTCATAGTTAATAGTTAATTAATAGTGAGAATTGGACCCTAAACTAAAGTGTGACTGAAAATTGCAATGCTTGTTGAATTTATGACCCCCGGTGACATTTTAAAGTCTTTCTTAGTCTGGCTTGATTCATGGCCTGGTTTGGCCGAGAGTTTGAACACTTGGGGTTTTTGGTTGTCACCAATGATGTAAGTCCCTACAGTCAAAATACACAATACAGGCCATCATTTCTCTTGGCAATTACAGTAGATGCCAACAGGAAACGGGCCGTGACAAAAGTAAGCTATAGTCTGCGACGCCTTTTATTCGGAGCCAAATCGATGCTTCAAAACGATGATACCGTTCCACTCACCCCATTTATCTTCTTTATCAATGCATTACGGACGTGTGCACACCTCTTCCCGTCCTGGCACTCATCCCTCACTCCCGGTATTGTCCGCTCAGGCAGTTTGAGGGTGGAGTCGTCTTTGGCCGTGACCTTTATTCTCATATTAACAGCCCGCTTCTGTATCGGCTCCACCTCGACAGGGAAGGACATCTGAAACGCCAGTGTTTCTCCTTTCAGCCTCACATGTGTGACATCTGCAGCCTTTAAATATAGTGTAATGACACCAATCCAAGAGTATAGTCCTGTTTTGCCAGACCTGTCCTTTTACATATCTGTATAAAGTCTGGTTCACACTGGCTCCTGTGTTGTGTTTATTGCCTAATCGTAAGCTTGATCAGAAATGATGACAAAATTTTTAAAAAAAGTAAACTTAAAGAACATATTTTTTGTTCAACGTCATTTAAATAAACGGATTTTCAAATGCAATAATTTTTTTAAAGATGCCCATCCCTAGTTTTTTTAGATCTTAAGAGGAGAAAAGGCTGGTTGAGGAGCCTGATTATAACACTCCATCTTTCTGATTGTTCTCAGGTGGGCGTAACGTGACGATCTCTCTGCAGTCTCGCACAGGACACACACACATGCCGTCTGTGGTGGGCCTGCTGGTCTTCACCCAGTTCTGGTTCTGGTTCCCGCTCTCTCACTTTCTCTCCCTGGCCTTCGTACCCACAGCCATCATCGGCCTCAACAAGGACCTGAAGGTAAGCAGAAATGTCCAACCTGAGCTGTACTGCAAAATGTGACGTCACCGTGACACCACAGAAGCGCTTGTCATAGGATATTTGTATCCACCAAAGCGTATTTTTCACACGCTGGAATATTTTTCTAATAGTTTTCAATGGGAGCATCGCATTTTTAAAACGACAGGAGCACAACGAGGAGCTAAAGGTCTATTTCATGTCTATTTGAGAGATAAAGAATGTTCAACTTTGGGTAAAACGCAGATTTTGTTTTTTTTCACTAAATATTCAGATTTTATACAATTATTGCGCACTTTTACTACTTTTTACTGCTAGTTTATAAACAAATTTTTGGCATAGCTTATGATAATCTATATGTATTTTTGATTTGTTGTTTTTCGTTATATTAAGTAGATTGTGTTTAACACACAAACAAGTGATTATCAATTGAACACACACAGTTATAGATATTCTACTTGATTTTTTATTTTTACTTTTTTAACTGTGCTGGTATCGGTCGATACTCGCCATTTTTTTTCTGAACGATCCGATCCCAAACCAAAAATTCTATCGGGACATCCCTAATATTTTCTCTCTCAGTATATCTCAGTATATTTTCCTGCTTTTTTGTCCTTAGCCTGGTGAAATTAGATGCTAGTAATACTTTCGCAGATTTTTTTTTTTCAGTTTCTAATGAACAAGTTCTGTCCTATTAACAGATGCCGAAGGTGCAGTATCGCTCCAACTGCAAACCCTCCACCTTCGCCTATCCTCCACCCCTGGAAGTCCCGAAGGAGAAAGAGAAGGAGAAGGTGTGTATTACCCGCGAACTCACACCTGACGGGACAAATCTCAACAAGAGCCAGATTTAACGGCTTATTTCGTGTCTTCTGTCAGGTTTCCACCGCCGTTCTGTCCATCACGGCTAAAGCCAAGAAGAAGGAAAAGGAGAAGAAAGAGAAGGAGGAGGAAAAGATGGAAGTGGTATGAATGCCCAACAACACATCTAGACCTTTTGCAAAGCACTTCCCGAAACCTTTAGTATGACATGCACCACCAAACTAGAGCCAGACCGATATATCGGCCGATATTAGGGATTTTTCTGCAGTTATAAATGAATATTTAAAAAATAAAATAAAAACGGACGAAACACGCTTCAATCATCTCTCCTTGGCCTGTTGTATTAAAAATCTATGTTTTACAATTTGCAGTATGATGTTATCTATTGCTAAATTATGGCTCATCATAGACTAGCTAACCACAAAGCTAGCTAATGCCACTATCATCAGTGGAAGACCCCTAACGTTAACATTAATGAGCTTGGAAACCACAATGTCTAAATAAAGTAATGATTACTGTATTTATAACTCGCATATCTCTAGTTACAGTCCCTGCATTGTAAAATGTAAGTTATACTTGCGAGGAGTGAATATTTAGACATAAAAAGTATCAAACGTGACTGATGATTGAAAATGGTTTGATTGTAGCTTGATGGAAAGAATTTGGGATAATCAAGCTGACATTGTAATTATAAGGTAGCTTATAAGGCAATGTACGGACTAATTATTATTTTATTAATCAGAACTTTAATATATTTTGATGTTCCTCTGTTCTGTTGTGACAATAAAAGAAACAAGTTTATTTTTAAAATTCTTTATCGTACTATTTTAGTTAAAACTCATAAATAACTACAAATATCTATGTTAGGGAAATCTGTTAATGTTTTGTTGCGCGTTTCTGAAAAAAATAAATAAAATATCGGCCGATATATCGGATTTTAAAACCCCAAAACATTTGTATCGGTATTGGTCCTCAAAATCCTTTATCGGTCGGACTCTACACCAAACGCTTTATCTTCTGATGCAGGAAACGCAGGCAGAGGCCGAAAAGGAGAAGAAAGACGAGGAGAAGGAGAAGGAGAAGGAAAAGGAAAAGGAAAAAGAGAAGAAGAAAGAGCCAGAGCCAAGCTTCCAGATGCTGGAGAACCCAGCGCGTGCGATGCCAGCCCAGCTGAAGGTCCTCACCATGCCGGACTGCAGATACCAGCCCTTCAAACCCGTGAGTCCAGCGCCGCTGTTACATCACACACAGCTCAAAGCAGTTCAACTTCAGTGATGGTTCATTTCTGTTCTAGAGAAGTTATTCATTTAGTTCATTTATATATCTATAGCCGCTCTGGAGAAAACCGTGATGTCATCGTCCATTTCAGTTCTCATATAATGGTGTTAATGCAGCAGATCAATAAGTGTTGAATATTAAGTGTCCCCAACTAAAAGTGGCATGAACCCAAACTCCATCAGTGACGGGATAGTGAATAAACCACACTGAGTCTGAAATTTTCCTATTCGTCATAATAAAAAAAAACGCACAGTCCGATGCGTATTAATCCGTAATCGCAAAACTATACAAAATGGAGTCTTCAAGCAGTGAGGATGATTTTGTTGTCCTCTCTCTTCTTAAAGGGGTGGGGTTTACTGCTTTTTTCTGTGCATGATTGTGTTTATGGGGTGCAATATAACATGTATTCGTGGTTTTTCTTAAATAAACTTCACCTTTATTGTAAGCTTGTAGGCTATGAAACCACCTTAGCCATCTTAGAACATAGTCTCGATTAGTCGAACCATGAACGCCGTTCATATAGTTCAGAAGTTCGCTGAACATCATACAGTTCAGATCACTCAGCAGGACGTTCGTGGTTTGACTTGTCGTGTCTGTTTTCCAAAGATGGCTCCTGTCTGTATAGATGAAGTGAACTGTCTTTATAAAGTATCTTATTATTAAACGGTCTGCACACTTACAACGTTCTCAATGCTTCGTTTTGCATGTATGGAGCCTCATTATGTTACTGCGTTAGTGTGGGGCTATTTTGAGCCTTGTTAGTGGTATAAACTAGCGATTTCTTTTTAATCAATGCCCCATTACTAGCATTATACGCTAAACAGTTTTTAGAGATAAAACTCTTTACATTCGATTATCATGAAAACAAATCTCAGAGAACGATTGACTAGGTACCGATGTTTTATTAGACCAAAGGTTCATTGATCGCCGGAGTTCTCATTTAACTCTTAATCTAGGCCTGTTGTGAGTGTTAGAGAACCACTCTTTAAGAGCTGACAATTGTCTTTTCTTGTTGGATTTTAGGAGACTTCATAAATGCAAATATGTGCTTTAGCAGGAGTAAATCCCGATTTCTAGACCACTACCAACACACAGTATAGTGATCGTCTTCATCCACTTTGTTCTCAGTTACACACAGGTGGCATCATCATCTTGAAAGACACCAGTGAGGAAGAGGAGGAGCTTGTGGAGCCCGTTTCTGCTCACGGCCCCAAGATTGAGGAGGAGGAGCAGGAGCCCGAGGCCCCGGAGCCCTTCGAGTACATCGACGAGTGAGAGGCCTCACCCTACAGGTACTTCCTCCGACCCCACACTCCTACCGGCAGACTAGTATCAAATCAAATCACTTCCAGATGGGTTCGGCCTTGTACATTTAGAGGCTTTTATTCAAAGCCTGAGAGAAGCTTCACACTGTACGGATCTACAATCGCAATCTCTTATATATTCATATTCAGTCTTTGGAATCGAGAAAAGAGTTATAATTTGAGGAAATTATTATAGAGATTCTATTTGTGTCTTGAATTGCTCTTAGACATGTTTTGCACTGTTTATGTTTACAGTCTGGACCGTTTGTTTACGTTAGTTTATATATTTGGTATGGATGTGTGTGGTTGTATAAGTACACAATGAGGGTCTGGTGATATCCTGGTCTGATCTCTCTTGCAGGCGGTGACCTCAGCATGTCCAGGACCACCCCTCTCCAGATGCCCACCTCTTTTCCTTTTTTATGTTGTTTCCTCCACTTGACCTATCACGGCCTCTTGAGGGATGTTTTACATGACAGAATTCAGTCATTACAATAAATCTAAATGTTGAACCTGAGATTCTGTGTTTTTATTGCTGTGAGTCTGTAATATGCTATACAGTGGTTTTTGATTGATGTTTGTCTGCTGAATCTATTTCACAACTTAAATTCAGGATATAAAATTAAACCATGACAAAAAAGGTGGTTAAAATCTAAAAAGCTAATAAGAAATGGTGACCATTTATTGAGATTTTAGATGTGTATATTTGTATGTTTAAAATGACTCGTGGACAAGTGGATAAGTTTAAAGCTCATTTCATCTTAGGCCATCAATGTGTACTTACATTTACGAGTCATTAAATCATGTGTAATTTGGACTTCTCTGTGCATGCTCTTTGAGGTGGTGACCATAGACCTCCATTATAGGACTGATAGACAAGAACGGTTTGACCTAAAAATATCAAAATTGAAAATACTGTGGAAACAAAGACACCTACATCTTGGATGCCCTTGAGGTAAGATAAAACATAACAAAAATTAATTTCAGTTCACATTAAGTGAACTATCCCTTTAAAACACTTAATACTAGGCTTCTTTTTTTTTTTTTTTACATCAATCAATGAGTTTTACACATCGAATATACAGTATGTAAGACCCAATATATAAGTGGTCTATAATCAGCAGCTTAAGCCTTAATGTTCATACAATTATGAGCGTCGCAATGTTGTGTAATTTGAGTTCACCTCACACTGATAATTTCATTTCATTTGTCAATACAGCGAATATATTTATATGGTTCTTAATTGAAGAACCACCAACTGTCTGGAGTAAGGAACATATCAACAGGTATGGGCTATATGCACGCATAAGTTCCGCATTTGACGCAAGGATGCTCGTCCGGTTGTGGAGATTAAAGTGGAGGAAAACGGGATTATGGCAGAGTCTTCAAAATTTACGAGAAGGAGGTCTCTGCAGAACAACAAGGGGCGTGCCTCAATTTGGGGGCGTTTTACAACCTCTCTGCCTGGTTCGCTTAAAACTTGAGTGGGACGCGCGATTCCCTTGAATACGCTTTTCCCATCAGATATGAGTGATAAAGCGAGAAAGCAGTGAAATGAGAGAGGTCACCTGTATGGATGTACGTGGATTTGTGTAAACTTTCAATTTTACGTCTGTTAACGTTAATTAGTTTGTGCAAATTTGCTTGCAACGTGATGTTGTTACATGATTAAGAAAAGCTCCAAGAGAGCTGCCACTTACAATCTATCGCTACCCATTATTAGCATAAGTTTGTTACATTAGTGTTGATATTGGTAGTTTGCTTTCCTATTTTTTTCCCAGTCTGCGTATTCTAATATAAAAAAAAGTTAAAGTTAGCTTGTCAGACTAGAAAACAATAGATGTAAACAAATGTTAATGGGCTATTTCACCGAATATGTGCCATTTATGTCCAGGACATTATGGCCCGGTTTCACAGACAGGGACAGGGTTTAGCCTAAACCAGATTGTCCATAGTTCAATTAGACAAGGCAAGTTTATTTATATAGCACATTTCATACACAACGGTAATTCAAAGTGCTTTATATAGAAGGAATTAAAATAATTAGGACATTTAAATAATTTTCATAACATGCTTAGAATAAAAAAAACATTACTGGTGTTCATCTTGAGACAAAACAACGGCAGTGATATATTTTAAGATCAGTCAGTGCAAGTTGATTCAGTTGGAACAGACTTACATTTTGGTCTAGGACTAGGCTTTCAAATTGTTTGTGAAACCAGGGGTATAGGTAGCCTACTAATATGTACTATTAATTCAATAATAAAAAAGAATAACTATAAATATATTTTAAGGAAAGTGTTGTGCACATTAATCTAACTGAAAATTGTATCTTATTAAAAAATTATTAAAAACTATAATATTTTGGAGAAATTAGCCTATGTTTTCGTTCAGTCCAGAACCCACTCCCTTCATACTGTATATGAAATGGTGTTTGAGTGTGTGTGGTGCGCTGTAAGAAAACAAGAAAAGCTGAAAAATCATTGCTTGTTAAGTTTATTATTTTTCATATCAATATATCAATTTTAATATAAAATTTATATTTTTTCTGTTATTTATATTATATCTCAGTCATAACCCTAACAAAAACCTCTGCAGATCATTAGATTTAAATAGAAACATGATTTGATCTTTTCTAGCATTGAGATCAGCTCAGTAGTCAATGTTCAACACTCTTCATTATATCAGTGCAGGCATTAATACCTCACATGTGTAGTCAAACCTATAGACTAACATAATGGATGAATGATAACATTTTTCAGGTGTCATGAGACTGACAAAGACTGTGGCAAAGGCTACAGAGGAACAGGGTAAAGAGGTGTATTGCAGGGGTTCTGATGACTTCCAAGGATACTGCGGAGACAACTGTTTCTATGAGGCTGGAGGAAGCATCTAATGTTTCAGGCAAGCCGTTTTAACATTTAATCATTTAAACCTACTACTAGTCTCTATTTTCAAGCTAGTACTTATTTTTGAGATACTAGTATCTATTCCATTAAGTACTAGTACTTATCAAATAGCTATAGTGCTTATTCTTTAGATACTAGTGCCTTTTCTTTAGATACTAGTACTTATTCATTAGATACTAGTCCCTATTTATTAGATATAGTGTTTATTTATTAGTTACTAGTGCTTATTCATTAGATACTAGTATTATTCATTAGATACCAGTCCTTATTTATTAGATACTACTTATTCAATAGATACTAGGGCCTTTTCTTTAGATGCTTATTCTTTAGGTACTAGCACTTTTTTAAAATACTAGTGCTTATTCATTAGATACTAGTCCTTATTTATTAGATACTTGTACTTATTCATTAGATACTAGTCCCTATTTATTATATAGTGCTTATTTATTAGTTACTAGTGCTTATTCATTAGATACTAGTATTATTCATTAGATACCAGTACTTATTATTTGATACTAGTACATATTCATTAGATACTATTTCCTATTAAATAGATACTAGTACTTATTCAATTAGATACTAGTACTTATTTCGATAGTGACTAGTAACAAATTTAATTTTTTGCCAGTGACTTCTATGGGGATCTGTCATTCAGATATCAACTGTTCAGTTCTGACTGGTATGTAATTGTGACTAGTACCTATACATTAGATACTAGTAGTTATTCATTAGGTACTAGTACTTATTTTTTAGATACTAGTATTAGTACTTATTCATTAGATGTCGGTACCTATTATTAGATACTAGTACGTATTCAATAGATACTAGTACCTATTTATTAAGAATTTAAACAAATGTACACAGGAAGATTCGTCGTCTTTTGGGAGGTGATGGAAACTACAGTCGTTGGCAGGATCAGAGACGGGCTCTGGTAGGATCACTCAGATTTCGTTTTCAGCTTATGTTCAAAACAATCACGTTTAATCCACTGAATTAGTTTAGTCCGGTTATACATATAACCGCGAACAGCACATGTTGTCCCTGAGCTCCGTAACGACATCTCTCATAAAGATTTGCGTCATTAAATAGTAAAATAATACTCCGAAAAACCGCTAGCCTTTTCGCTAACTAGCACACAAAATACCATTGGAATGCTACTTCCGCCGCATCACCGGAAGTTTCACCCACTTTATTTTTTACAGGAGCGCCCCTCGGAAACTTGTGGATTTGAAAATAAATATAATGAACAAGACACCCAAAGTACTTATTTAATTACATTACAAATATGTTCATCAATCATTTTTTATTACAACAAATATGAAACTAAATGTGCTCATTTAAAGGGTACATATCATGCTTTTAAATCATTAATTTTTACATATAAATAAATGTTTCGTGGTTTTATATTTATATGTCCTTACCATTGTGGTCTATATAAAACATAACTGCAATGCTTGGGTCTGAATTCCTCATTATTATAGCTCCACAGGCCCCTTTTCTGATGTGCGTCTTTGAGCGACCCGTTTCAATGCGTCCCCTTTAAATAAAAAGGAGATGCGTCACACCCCGCCCGCTCTCCAGGTCGATGAGTTCACGGTCAGTTCAACTCCCCACGTTCGGCCATTATTGTAGTTTGATTAGAGAGATATACGATTATATACGATACCTTCAAAGAACATTTTTATTCACACGTTAATAAAATGTCAACAACAGAAGACTTGTCCGTCAAGCCTTACATATTCGAGCCAGAGCGAGCGAGTTGATAAAGACGACGACGAACCTGCAGAACAACCTCTATTGGTATGTGAGTTAACTGTTTTGTGTTATTAGTGAAAGTCGACTATTTCTCTTGTTAAAACAAGCACACTGACAAGATAAATGACTACGATCTAATCTTACCACAAAAAAAATCTGTATTGACAATATGATACGTCTAGAAAAGCATCAGAAAACACAGCAGCTAAATGACCATTGATGAAACTCAAGAACAATAATACTGCAGACGTGTAACGTTACTTCAAAACAAAAACAAAAGAAACAAAGACAAAGGTACTGCTAAACCATGACCACCATGTGTTTTAAGAAAGTAAAGTACTTTATTTTTATTAACGATATTTACAGCTTATCGAAATGCTCTGTTCGTCGTCTCCAAAGATAGAAGGAATTTACCTCTCATTCAGACGAAGTCGATCGCCAAACCCTTCTTTACACTGGCGGAGGTTGTTAAAGTGGGAATCCTTGAAGTGCTTCAGGTCACTAACGTACATCCAACAACCGAACATTTTGAATTGCCCTCTCGTAACTTCTGCATCATTGAGCTCGGACTACAAAATCGGAGCGAGAAATAATAATGGCGGATTGCTGGAAGTGTTGGACCGGTAGTCAATGTCCTTATTTGGCAGTTCTGCTGCAAAAACGTTGACGCACTTGACGCAAAAACGTCACAGACAACAGAAAAATCTGAACAGGTTGACAAATATGACCAAAACAGAATATAAAGATATAAACGAAGCACCTGAAGAGAATAATTCCAAATATACAACAAAATGCATTTAACGGCTAAAAAAGTGGATTTTGCATGATATGTCCCCTTTAATGGCTACCATAT